AAGTGGTCCAGCGGACGCATGATTACGCGAGCATTACGCGAACGGTCGAGCGAGATCGGAAGAGATTGCGTCAACATCAGCGTCGTAACGAAAGGAAAATCTCAAGTATTACACTCGAGACTCGTTTAAAGCAAAGACAAGCGTGTGACGCAAAAAAAGAAATAGGCATAGTAGACGTCCGTGAAATACTCGAGGCAGGTAAGATTCCTATTGCTCTCAACTGGAAATGGTCTGTAAAATGATTGCGCGAAGTTACCAATGTTAGGAGGATGTTAATAGATAAATGAGAAGAAATACGTTCGCCCTCTCTCTCTCTCTCTCTCTCTCTCTCGTTGTCACCCTCCTTCTGTCTTTCTTTTCCTTCTTCGCGATTAGATTAAATGACGATTTCAGACAGTTACTAGTTAGACGGACGGCACACGCTTGCGCAGGTGCGAGCGATTTCTTGCGTAACGCTTACAGCAGACACGCACACCATCCCGTCCTCCGCGGTTCGTTTTCTGTGCCGCGCGCGGCTCCGTTATAATGTATACAGTTTTCGCAACGTAATCCCGAGGTATTTCGCTTGCTCGGCGCGTTTTCGGCTTTTCGTTTTGCAAGCGGCCAAAACATCTAGCGCGATCGCTCGCGGGAGGACTGTGATCGCGACCTCCATTCCGTCCGGTCCGTACGGCCTCTGATCTCGCGTTGCGGCAATTCCCTTCGGGAAATCTCGCGTGCACGATGACACGGATTCCGTACGCGATTCCGCACGTGATTTCACATAATCGATCGATCAGTTAGCTGCATCCCCCGTACCATGCAGCACCTCAAGTAGAACACAGAAATCCATAATAATATCATAAGGATATTTTTCCATTTTTTATTTAACGTCATTTTGACATTATCGTGACTTATTGTTCTGCTTGGGTCCCAAACAAAATCACAATAAATCATGATAATATCAAAATGACTCGTAAATGAATCGTAAATTATTGAAAAGTAATTTTTAATGCTCATTTGGGAGTTATTATGACTTCATGTTAATGCTACAGTGACTCGTTGTTCTGTTTGGATTGATCCCCAGACATTCTTCGAATAAGTGTTCCAGATAGAACACAGTCATTCTTAAGCCATAATGATATCATAGGATCGACATCATGACGGCATTTGATACTTAAAATGAACTTATAAGTGACAAATAAAGTCATATGATCTCAAGCAGAACAACAAGCCACGTATAACGTACATAACGTGTCAAAATGACACTAAAATGAATCGAAAATGATTGAAAAATGACTTAATGATTATTTTGGAGTCATTTTAACATCATTTTGATATCATAATGACTTGTTATTCTGCATTAACATGATGTCATAATAATTCCAAAATGAGCACTAAAAGTTACTTTTCAATAATTTACCATTCATTTACAAGTCATTTTGATATTACTATGATTTATTGTGATTTTGTTTGGGACCCAAGCAGAACAATAGTCACGATAACGTCAAAATGACATTAAAATGAATCAGAAATTATTTCAAAATGACTTTTAATGGTTATTTTGGAGTCATTTTGATATCATAATGACTTATTGTTCTGCTTGGGGAATTATGTAACTTTTTGTAGGGAAACGTGAAAATTTTTTGTGTGTATATGTATATATATATACTATATATAAAATTTCACTTTTCACATTTCTGTTCTAGGAAAAATGTTGCATGGTTCTCAAGCAGAATCGCAAATTACGGTAACATCAAAATGACATTAAAGTGGATCGTAAATGATTGGAAAGTGACTTTTAGTGATCATTTCGAAATCATTTTTACATCATTTTGTTCTATTCTAGTAAAAGTCACATTCGATTATATCCTGAGAATGTTCTTAAGATAGGATTTAAAGATGACTTTTGAACGTCTTAGGATTATCTCTTGAATGTTTGTGGATGGAATTGTGTGAATTCATCGAAAGGGTTATTCGTGATACGAATGTACGATGCTCGAGCAGATTTGGATGGAAATGGATTTGGAATCGCTTGTCTAATCATAATTGAAGCGGATGCAGTCAATAATTGAGAGAATTCTAAGAATTGTTTTATAGATATCGATATTTTTTCCATATTTTTTCAATGGTAGATAGGCTATCTGTACGTATCACGAATAGATTGTGCGTAAAATTCTATTGCGAATGTCTCACAGCGAAATTTGATGGATTGTCGCACACCTTAATGATAAACGGCTACTTCGATTACAACTTTGCATAATTAACCCTTACCCTACAAGAGTACAATTTGGTGCCTCATCTATATAAATAGGGTACTAGAATCCGTCCATTTTTTTTCCCTATTCAGAATAATTTAAAAAAATCTCTAAAAATTCACCAACATACGTTCAACTTTCTAGAATAAATATTAGAACTTTATTTTGGAAAATAATAAAATTTATAATTACCGAAAGATTCAAAGAAACTTGCACGAACAGGAATCTCTCGGGTCACTAATGATCCGTCTTGTAGGGTAAGGGTTAATTTTGCTCTCCGCCCTGAAGCATAGAAATCGATCGATATGAGCACTTTTTTAATGCAAAATCTGTATCTTCTATGACCTTCATACATTTTTAATCTTTAATAATTTATAAAGATAATAAGAGAAACTAAAATCCCATTAAGAGTTTAATGCGAATATCATTGCGATTCATTGAGATTTAACTCGTTTTAACAATCTACGGTCTGAATAATTTCATGTAAAAATTAAAGATATACTGCGAAATAATCCGATTTATTTTATGCCATTGCTTATTTCGAACTAGTGGAATTATTTAAACACAAAGAAGGATTTCAGCTCCAGTAAATAAGTATTCGAGATTCATAGATGTTTAGCAAAGTGAAAAGATTCTATCCGTCAATTATTTCTGACGGGAGGATATATTGTGCAAAACATTATGTGTCAAGCATTGCGTCAACTTTTCCTGGATAAATAATTTTTTCTAACTTTGTATCGCTTAAAAAACAAATTAAATAGTTTGTTGTCTTTTTTATTTTGATAAACAAGCTAATGCGTAGTAAGTGGAGCGATCAATAACCTCGAGCAAATGAAGCACATGTATATAATCATTCATTAATTTTTATTAATTAATGATGAAGTCACGAATTTTCGTTTTCATATGATTTTCAAGTAAACATTATTTTCTTTATCTCTTCTTTGCCTCATTCAGTCGGCGTCTTTCACTCGAATCAATCAGGCAGAATTGGGGAAAGAGCGAGTAAATTTACGCATTTGCAACAGTCTTGTTTGTCCTCGTCGAAGTTACGAGTGAAATTCAATTTGCCCATGTGTACAGCGTACATTGTACATACCAGAATGGTTCAAGGCCGCGTAGTCGATTCATGGTCGGCTCGGCGAATTGCGCGACGGCATTGTCAGGCATTGCCCGATCGTACAGTGCGACTGCTTTCGAATGAAAAATTCTGTAGTGGCTATAAACACGTAAGCCGGTACGACAGACACGAGACATCGGAGGATTCGAACTGGTAGTTTGAGACTCGAGAACGCTTATCTCGGCCAAATCCTGATCTATATTGGTCCAGAGTTAAAGAATGTCGATGCTAGATTGCCAATTCGAAAATCATGTATTTTTTTTTACCTCAGATTATAGATATCTCAGATTCACAGTTACACAATTTCATACAATTTTAAAACGTTTTTTCGATCGTTTTTTTTCTCGCGAATAACCTTGTCGAACACGACCAAGATTTATGTCTGTTTAAATTTTTTTAATATAAAAACAGTTAAGAATATCTTGGTTATAATATTAGTTAAAAATATCAATCAGTAAATTAGCTAAAAAGTTAATATTAGCTAAAAAAATTTTTGTTATAAATACATCTCGAAATAATACAACAGATAATTTGGTTTTATGTAGTAAAATGACTAGTATTTTACTGCAATTTTAGATAAATAACTTTTGATATCCTTAAGTGAAGAGAAATTTTCAAGAACGTGGCGATTGTAGATTCTTGTCGATTCTCGCAGATACAAGTGTACAGCTTTATTAGATTAGATTAGATTAGATTAGATCAATATTTTTAATTATACATATTTCATGCAATTAGAAACGTAGTACCTCGTTTTTTTCGTATCCCGTTCAAAAAGAAGTATCATCGTTTCCAATTGCATGAAATACGTATAATTAAAATTTGTATAGAAAACGAGAAAAACGAGATGTTACAATATTTTACGAAATTTCTGGTTTTTAATATGATGGTGGTTTTTAATCACCTGAATGGTGATTTTTATGTATTTTATTCCATAAAGTAAAAGAAAAAAATTTTAATTATTTATAATACATAAATTTGTAATATATATAATATTCTTTTAATGTTCTTTTATCGTTTAAATACCATTTTAAGTAATACATTAAGAGAATAAGATTTATTGGCAATCTAAATGAAATTAATTATAATAAATATTTACAACTTTTTTCTTTTATTTTACGAAGTGAAATACATAAGAATCATTATTCAGATGTTGTGAAACAGAAACAGGAAACAGAAACTTTGTAAATCAATGTAACTTTTCCTCATTAAATATTACTAATAAATTGTATTATTTGATGCATCATTTATAATTGTGTTTAAATAATAAAAGGAATTGTATATCATGTTTATTTTTACATATATTGTAAAAAAATATTTGAACTTCTTATAGTTATATATTACATATACGACAAATTTGCGTTTTTACATGAGAAATTCAAAGCGGATCTTAAAAATTGAAGGATGACTACATTTTTTGAAAAGTATGTCCTTTTTTAATGTAAAAACACAAGAGATACCATTACTTACTAGAAAATAAAAAAGATCATCAAACATTTTTTTCACTGTGTGTCATTATTATAGAAGAAGTGGTATCTTGCATTAATTTTAGAGTACCGTTAGTGGTACGCCACGAATCTCATTATTACGATCGTATTTTGTAGGAACCGTTGGATATCTCCGATAAAAATCTCTTTCTTTCGTTTCAGGAGGAGAAGAGGCTATCACCTGAGAGTGGGCAGTAGATTTTGCACCGGATTTCCGTTCGAAATAGATCTGAAGGCAGCTTACACGACAACATGTCGATCATAATGCAGTATATAGACCGGTTCCACGATATGCTGGACAAACATGCAGGTGATTATGGCGGATAAAATGCGAGAACCCGTTGAGAAAAATATCCGGAATTTGTATAGTTCTAAATAGAGTAATTTGGATTTGGATGATAAATGACGAAAACTTGGCTATCTCGTAGTACATATGTCAAGCGTACCCAGTGACATCACCGACATATTATAAATTGACGATTACGTCGTTGCACGATAATTTCGAGAGTCACGATAGATGGACACTGTGCGGTATTAGAGTCCTTCGGATTTACATAATTGACGCGCGAAAGATGAGAATGTAAATAACGAATAGTGATATTGTTGTCGAGCATTATGTCTTCTTTTGTTTAACAATTCTTGGGTAACTCCACATGGAACATCTCGATGACATTTATTTTAGAATTATAAAATGTCTACATCTCTTTAATCTATTAGTTTTTTTATAAGCCGTCTCTATTAGGCTTTATAGATAAAAAGAAAAAGAAAATATCACTTGAGTTTATATATATCAAGAAAGAATTTTTTACAGTTTTTTACTTATAACCACACATTTATTATAATTATTGACTAATTAGAATCCACTTTCTATATATTACTTTGATCTAAATTTAAATACTTTTATTTAAATTTATATGTATTTTATCCTAGTTTTTTTTTTATTTTAATTTTTACGTTAATTTACACTAACATTATAATTGCTTTGCTATATAATTTTCACATAAAAATTCTAGGTTTTTTTTACTTATACTAATCTTTAAAAAAAAATACTATTTTTTTCTTATGACCTTATATATCTCTCCTAATAATTTTTCATAATTATGCTGCACCTAAACTTTTATCTATATTCTTCTTTCTCTTCTTTTCTTTCACTTTTTTTTTCTACAATTTCCTTAAAACATTATCTTTTTTAAATATCTAAATCCATAATTTATCATCCCTCTAATCTACAAGTCACTTTTATGTGTGTGTGTGTGTGTGTGTGTGTGTGTGTGTGTGTGTGTGTGTGTGTGTGTGTGTGTGTGAGAGTGAGAGAGAGAGAGAGAGAGAGAGAGAGAGAAGTTTTATAGTTATTTTCAAAAAAATTACGCGTCAAAGTGATGCATAAATTCTCCTTTGTATCCTGAATTCTTTTATATATAAAAAAAAAATACGAACGGAATTTGTTAGGTTCATGTTTGGTATACGCGCATATATCGAATGTTCTTACAAAGCACTTGAAAATACGCAGTGAAAATAGGTCTTTTTCTACGCATATTTTATCACATTTTACTTACATTCTGTGTAACGAGTCTCAAAATATATGCACGGTAATTTGCGTTATTTGTCAATGTTATTTTATTGCATTGCGGCCGTTGCGCGAAATGGAATGAGCGATTGTCAGAAGACTGTTTCCTTGAGACCGTCACTGTCCCACTTCGGGCGCAGCAACGAAATGTCACTTTGATAATCGCGGCGTCGTGTGAGTAAAGTGGAGTAATTCTTTATTCTGTACAGACAGCTGGCCGGCTGCATCGTGCCGTCACGTTTGTTGCAACGCGGGCGCTTCTTTTCGCAACTCGCCGGTCACCGACGAGAGGAATCAGACTCCCAGTTTTACGGCGTGATTAACGATCTAATCGATTAACGTTTATCTCTCAAGTTATTGTTCGGTCAATGAGAATAGTCTGTGTTTATCGACACGCCAATTAACGTCCCATGATTAACATGAAAAAATTACGTGGAGATATAAAAGTGCGTCGTTAGCATTATTAACGTTTCACGATTGTTCGATTATTCCATCGGAAATTTGCATACATGTGCGGAAGGTGAGAATTACTCTATCTGTATACACAGGCATGTGGAAGGATTATACAGATTATATAAATTATATTGAGTAAACTGCGATAAAAAAAAATTTATGCAACTTCCGAGTTTTGTAAAAACGTGTTTATTTTAATTTTTGCATGAAAAATAAATAAAATATATTTATACAATTCTTGAAGATTTTTCTCAATATATATTGTACACGTTTATATATACATGTTTTTTATATGCATTTTTTATATAGATTTCTAAAATGATGTTATTAATTTTGCACGAACTAATTTCTTTTTACAAAAATATTTGTGTACTGGTTAGATTACAAATTAATTTTTCTTATTCATCTTTTAATTATGCAATAAACCTGCTCTCAATGCCAAAATAATGTTGTTCTAGCATATGCAAATATGTTATTCCTATTCATGTCTTCCGAATGAGTTGCATAATCTTTGCAAGCGTAAATAAAATCGAACACGTTTAACGCTGTCCGTCCGGTGGAGAATCTCAAGGAACACCCACGGAAATACCGATCATTTACTTTTTCCATATTGAGAAAACCAAGGGAAAGGTAAATGAACCATCGAAGGATATGAATAGAGAAAAAGGACATACACACCAGACATCCCTGAAAGACATCTATGGAGCAGTCCTTCAAAGTGATATCGAAGGACGAGCGGTTTTTATCATCATTAAATCATGGTCACTGGATTACGCCTATTATTCACATAAGAAAGAGAGAGAGAGAGAGAGAGAGAGAGAGAGAGAGAGAGAGAGAGAGA